ACTATATTTAATAGTTCAGTAACATACACTTGAAATTGCTTTTGGCTTTGGTAAGAGAAATTTCCATTGGCAGTGTTTTAGTACTTTATAATAATAGAAATAATGTTATTTCTTTGCTTAATAGACAAAAAGAATTTGCCAGTGGTAGGAGTGTGCATGTTGGGGAAATTCCATGTATTTTTCTTCTCCATAACCCAACCCATGCACCATGAGATTTCCTAGGTTACTGAAGCTAAATGAACTAGCTCACAAGCTACAGTTTTCATAAAGAAAAGGAAGAATACAAACACCCAGCAAATTATCCAGAAGTAGCTTGATTAATTTTCAACTTCCAAAGCAGCTAACAGTTGATGAAAGGTCTTAGCAGAAAATGACATAAACAAGAGAAAATTCTTGACATTGACAAAATAAGAGGCCTTCCTCAAAATTATTCTTTTTCCTAGATTTTATCACATTTTTACAATAGTTTTTATCTTAGAAAGTTTTTTGGTTGATATGAGATTACTTATAAAAAGAGCCAGATTACGTTTACGTTGAACTACACAGTGGAGTTTAAATTGTGATATGGCAAAAGAGATAATTTGGATATACAGAATTTCTTGGTAAACTATAATCTTCAAGAGCAAAATTTCTCCAGCATGCTTAATCAAAGGTGGTAGAAGGGATGCCTGGTGTTTTGCCCCCTACTACTCATACGCACTGCAGTTTGGGTGAATCTGATCCTTACTGTCATCTACAGGAGATGGCATATTTATTATAAGTCTAGTCAATCTGAGCTCTCCATACCCTTCAAGGAAAGGTTCAGAAATGAGTATGTGATTCAAGCTCCCTCGCACCCAATGGCATAAAGCATTCTTGTAGCTATCGTTTGCCTTGCCTCAAATTATATACAACACAACAGTCCCCATCACAAAGGCAATAATGTCTTTTCCAGGCCTAGAGTGAATGCACAGAAAGGAGTCATCAACTTCAGTTAACTTTTGAAGATGTATCTAGAAATAATATTTACAACACATCTTTTTCCTTTTCCCCAGACTTGGTATATGTGGTCACATCTAACCTGGGACCAGCAGTCAATCAGTTAACTCATACACGCTTCTTGAGAACTCTTATCTATAATAACAAAAAAAGGATAGACAGAAGGAAAGATCATGGAGCACAATTAAGGCCACAGATCTGCACTGCACCATGTAGGCAGGGAGTTGTATGTCTAGCAATCATGTGCAGCTCAAGAACGGGAATAGCAAAAATGGGTGTTATGGTAATTCAGACTTCACATAGTTAGAGTAGGCCCTGCCACAGTTTAGAAGGGGAGAGGGGAATAAAAGAATACAAGTTAGTTGAAACTGTACCAAAGTGCTGCAAGGCAGGCATATAATGAGTGGTCACATGCTATGGGGAGTAAACAAGACAGGAAAAATGTAGCCAATGAGATAGTAGGTGTTTGGGATTGAAAAACTGTAGTGAAAAACACAAGGAACAGGTACATTTGGTAGGGGATGGATAAGATGACAGGATGATCTCTCCAAGAGGAGATCTCAGAGCTATAGTCAGGTCCTGCTGGTGATGACAGATATGGGGCTTTACTGCAGGGTGACTAACAGTGAAAAATGATAACAAGGAATCTGAAGAGTCATAAGCACATACTGTAATAATACCAAGGATGACTGTATGCATAAAAGGGAAAGTGAAAACTGGAGTCTGACTCTGAAGTGATCACCATGGTTGAATGGAACTGAGCTTTCAAGGAAATAAATCATCTCAAAGCAATGCTAAAAAAAAGGGGGACCTAAAAAGCAAAATAGATATAATTCAGAGAGAAAGGAAGGTTATAAAGAAAATATCCAAAACTGGCATTGGGGAAGGAGACGAGGACCATTTTACCCAGCTCCTCACCTAAGGGTAAGCACAATTGGAGGCAAGTCCCCCAGATGGTAGAGAATGGAATATCAGCTTCAAGAGAGACAGGCTGCAAATATAGCAAGAAGACAGAGAGGAGGTAAGAAATATTGGGCATTTGATCACTATGGACTCAGGGAATAAAAAGGTATGGAAAAGGAGGTAAGAAATATGGAAAAGAAACAAGGTTGGAATATGGAGGGAGGAGGGTTAAAGGGAAAATCTTGTTTAGCATTTATTGGGCTAATCATGATGTTAAGCACTAGAGTGGGAGAGAGGTAGGAGAATTCTGAAGCCAACAATGTCTACCATTAAATGTTAGAGATGTAAATGTAATTGAATACTTGAAAGGTTCAATGACATTGGGGAAGTGGGACTCTGTGGAGTGAGGAAAGTGTCCAAAGTTTCCAGCCTCATAGTTAGAAATGAACTGTTATGACTTTTTTTTTTTTTTTTTTTTAAATATTAACAAGGTAGGTACTAAGAATTGGAGACTCCTTCCTGAGTCTGGTAGTGGGAGAACCAGTGAAAAAGGGGGCTGCTCTTAAAAACCCTCTTAGCAATTTTAGCCAGGGAAACAGTAGAGATTGACACGAAGGGTGGATGAAGTGGAGCACACTAAGGGTCCTGGTTTGACAAGGTAGGAATGGAAAGCAGTACTCCGTGGGCAGCACTGGAACTCTAGAGGGAAGCACCCTGTTCACTGTGGGGGAAGAATAATCCCGATCACTGACTCTGGAATAACATGCACATAGGCAGCCCCCACACACACCCACACACAGGTTGCATTCAATCTGCTACTACGGTAAAGCGTTTGATGACAAATGAAGAGAAAAATAAACTTAGAAATGCAATTTTAAAAATCTTCACATATTTCTGAACATTGCCATAGGGGAAAAAAGATTCCAAAAACATATTACCTTATTTGCAAGCAGTCTGGCTGTGAGTTTAATATGAATTATGGTGAGAACAGATCCAGAGCATGATTTCATTTCAGGCAGCCCTGAGCGACCAGAAAACAGTAAACTTAGGAAATGGTATGTCTAGTCACTAGTACTAACAGGCCACTAAAACCAAATGTCAAAGGGGCCAAAAGAAAACACATGGGAGGAGACCCAGCCAAATCAAGTGACTTTTTTAAAATAAAATTAATAAAAGGGCATTACAGCTTTCATATTTTTACTTTGTTTATTTAGCAATCGGCTACCTTGTAAACAACAAGAAAATGATTACTTTTATCTAGCAAGAAAGCTATTTTCTAGGATTCAGCTACACAACAAAAGTGTAGGAGCCTCACACCTCACACAATGGTAGGCGATCAATGAAAACTTGAGAGAATGGAGTCTAGAATCATTAAAGTGTATTGATTCCTTTAAAAGGTGCTTCTCTACAACATTCTTTAGCCAAAGAGACAGCAAGCAAAGGAGGTCAGAAGGCAGAAAGGAGCAATGCAATCTGAGCATTGCAATAATGACTCTATTTTTAGCAAAAATAAACAATAACATTCTGGACAACTTCACAATGATTTCCCTGACCATTGTTGTAAAGATTCCTTCAACAGTTGTTGTCTGGCACTCATTTTTACTTTTTATTTTTATTTTTAAGCTAAATACATTCATTTTCTCTGTATCAATAGTCCTATTACTAACTCCTAAATCCTAAAACAGGAAACGTAAATCAATAGATGGAAAATCAGCATCTCTCAGGGACTGAGTTGACTGAGCCGCACTTTAGCATTCAAAGTGAAGATGTCACAAGACATGATCTTACCTGCTTTAACTCCTCAGTTGTGGATTCCTCTTTGATCTTAGCTTATTCATAGCTACTAGATTTCTAACTCTAATAAGTCAACAGTTTCCTAAGCCCTGCATTTATTTTTTTTTTTGGCTACTAGATATTCAGCATATTTGGGCCCTGTACATTTGTCTTAACTTCACTGCTACTGAGTTTTTTTGTTTACTTTTGCTATTGTCCAAGTGATGCAAGGTAGTGAACAAAGGAAGGTATGTGTGTTGCTGAGGAGATGGGAAGGAGAGTGAGGTTGACAAAGCAATTTTGAGAGTACTTGGTGTGGAGGCAGCCAATTTCAAAAGAAATCTAATGCTTTCCTTCCAAAATTATTTTAAAAGTTTTGAATTAGAAGGAAGAGAAGAAATTTACACATTGTCATTGGGGTTGAAAAAATCTATTGGGATCAAGTTTGATATATGCTTGCTAAGTTGCCTTGAAAACCTATGTCCATTCAAACCCACAATGAGATAACACTTCACACCCATTAGTGTGACTATTACTTAAATAAATAAATAAATAAATAAATAAATAGAACAAGCATTGGTAAGTATGTGGAGAATATAGAAACATTTTGCATTATTGGAAGGATTGTAAAATGGTGCAGCTGCTGTGGAAAACAGATTGGTGGTTCCTCAAAAAGTTAAATATAGAATTATCACTTGACCCAGCAATTCTATTTCTAGATATATACCCAAAAGAATTGAAAGCAGGGATGCAAACAATTACTGTACACTAATGTTCCCTGCAGCATTATTTACTGTAGGCAAAATGCAGAACACAACTCATGTGTCCACCAACAGATGAATGGATAACCAAAATGTGACATAAACATTCACTAGAATATTAGCCATAAAAAGGAATGATATTCTCATACGTATTATAACATGGATGGACCTTGAAAACATTATGCTACATGAGTCAGAGACAAAAGTACAAATATTGTGTGATTCCATTTATATGATAGATCTAGAACAGTCAAAATCAAAGATCAAGCAAGTAGATTAGAGGTTAGCAAGGGCTGAGAAGACAGTAGAATGGGGACTTGTTCTCAGTGAGTATAGAGTTTCTGTTTGGGGTGATGAAAAGATTTTGCAGATACCAGTGATACTTACAAACAACTGAATATGAATAATGTCACTGAATAATGTAACCAGTTATAAATGGTTAAACTAGCAAATTTTGTTATATATACATTATCACAGTAAAATTTATGCATATGTATAGATATAGATACATAGACAAACATATATACACAAGAATTCTTCAAATATAAATCATGAATCTATAGATAAAGAAAAAACGTACATTACCTGACAAGACAACTTCAATAAGATCACCTTCCTGGATATCACTAGCCGTTTTCACCAGTTGGAGGATGTTTTCAGAGGTAGGGTCATGGCGAAAAAGCAGGATCTTATCATACATTCCATAGAAACCACATTCAGGGAACTGCAATACAAACACCAAATGTCAAAATCTTCTTAAATTAAAAATAAAAAGCAAATGAATAAATGTCAGGACACAGATACAAGCTAATTTTAGAAGTTCAAAATACTTAAATGATTAAAAATAAAAATGAATGGAACAGTTGAGATTAAAAATCAGGAGGGTAGAAATCACATATCAAAAACCCTATCATGACTTTAAATGATCTTCTAATTAGAGAGCAAGAAGACAGTAGAATATGAGGTAAGATTCAAAGAAGTTCCTGGCATTAAAGTGGTTAAGAAATAGAATATTCCATTCAGTCTTCAGTGCAATCTATGTAAAATAGGTAAGCACAACAGCTAAAGTCAGCTTGCTGTAAGTATATCTAGTTTATATTCTCCTTACAAGGGTAAATCCAAGAGTTTAATTCTCTCTCAAGGATTATTTCCCACTAACAGACTTAAAAATGAGAGACAAATGAATGTATGATATTTTACAATAGGCAAATCTAGGAGCAAAATAATAGTAGTATCAACTATGCTTATTTAATCATTTAATATCATTCCCAATGCCAATGTGTACATTTCTTCTCTCTCTTCTAATTCAAAACAGGGCCCCAAGTTCAAAACCTATCTCTGATGAACTCCTTTAGGATGGAATTTCAAAGCAGAATTATTTGATCAAATGCTAGGAACATCTTTAATGATCCTCAAGCAAATTTCAAATTTATTATAGTAGCATAGTACCTAAGGCACTTAACTGCTAACCAGAAGGCTGGCAGTTCAAACCCACCAGCCACTCCTAGGAAGGAAGGTTGGGCAATCTGCTTCCATAGTGATACTGCCTCCGAAACCCAAGGAGGGGTCGCTATGAGTCTGGTCCCACTCCATGGCACACAACAACAACAACATCAATCCACATGCCCATTAGCAGTGTAGGAGAAAGCTCATCTGCTCTAGCAAATAGAACTATCATAATTCAGTCAAACAACCTTAGCTAATTTTGTATGTAACAAGGCTCTTATATTTAAAATATTAATAATAATAATAATAATAAAAAGAAGAGGGGGTCTCTTGTATTTGACTTTTCTGACGTAAGTATTGAGGATTGGTGTTTCTTTTATAAATTGATCATTGTAATGTAGTTGGAAAAAGTCATAAGATAAATAGACAAATTCTGGGATTGGAAATGGGTCGGATAGTTATTTCAATAACTGTGGACTTATAGGGATTCCTATGGTTGATGTGTTCAGAATTTGATAACTTCTAAAGACAAATATACTGCTGCAAATTCCCCTTTCTTTTTTCTTATTCATAAAATTAGGGGCTACATTCATGTGAGCCAGTTAGTATGAATTAAAAATAAATATATTCAGAGTATCTTTTTCTTCATAGAGTGTGTTGATAGCTACTTCTGCATGTCACTTAGTAAATTTTACTTCCTTAAAATAAACACAACAGCTGAAATGATGTCACTGCTTTCACTATGCTAATTAAAAGAAAAAATAGTTTATCTTTCCAAACTTCTCCCACAAAATCTTTAGAGCACAAGGGAAACTAAGACTCTATTTTTCCTCAAACTTAAAAGCAATTGATGGTTCATCTCCAGTTTTTAAAATAAACTTACTGAAGTAGGATTTACATGCAATATAATCACTCTATTTTAAGGGGGTAATGTATAAGTTTTAATAAACATTAACACTTGTCCAACGAAAATCACAATCAAGACATAGAACATTTTTATCAACCCTAAAAGTTCCATTGTATCCATTTTTAATTGAGGCCACACACAATCCTGACCCAAGCACAGATCCACTATCTTTCATCACAGATTAATTTTGCCTTTTATAGCATTTCATATAAATGAAATCATACAGTATACACTAAGTACTCTTTTCTGCCTGCTTATTTTGATATGTTTTTGTGATTCATTTATATATATTGCATTTGAAAATCATCTATTTTTATTCCTTACTAGTAATTACATCACTACACGGATCTACATAATTCTTTTTCCATTCACCCACTGAATGGACATATGATTTTTCTCCAGCTTGTGTCTATTACAAACAAAGATATTATGAACATTTGTGTTTAAGTATTTCTGTACACATATGTTTATCTATCTATCTATCTATCTATCTATCTATTTAGTGGATAAATACCTAGCATTGCTGGGTCTTATGATAACTATGTTTAACTCTACAGGAATTTGTTGAACTATTCCAAAAAGATTATACCATTTTGCAATATTTGGATATTGTGTGAGGCAAGCATCAAAATTTACTTTCTGTATATGGGTGGCCAATTGTTTCAGAATCACTTATTGAAAAGATCTTCCTGTCTGTGATAGTTGGGGTTGTGTGTCATCTTGGCTGGACCACAACTCTTGAGTGTTTTAAACAGTTGTGATGTGGTTATTCCCATGATGAGATCTAATGTATATGCTCTGAGCAGTCAATTAGTTGAAAGAAAGTTTCCTTAGGGGTGTGGCCTGGCCTGCTTCCTAATATATATATATATATATATATAT